TTTACTTTGGCTTTTACTTATTCAAAGAACATCAAAGACACCTGTGCATGAAGCAGGACGTGATACCAGCCATGCAATTTATATTTTCCTTCCTCTGAGATGAGGATGAAGTTAGTGCACTTGCAGTGTTGTTCAATATATTGGTGACCTGGAAATTTAAAAGTTAAGTAAAAAAAAATCAGTTTTACAGAGAAATTTTCCCTTTATTTTGGAAAATGTCATCTGGTTCCTTCTCAGACTAGGTTATGATGGACCAGGAAATCTCCAGAGTTTTTCTGAAATCCTGGCACTGAATTAGTCATTGACAAAAGAAAATGAGCTAATTCATTGGTGAAAAGACAGGTGCTGTCCAATTTGTGACATTGCAATTTTTGATCACAGCCTACACCTTGTGAAAAACATGTTAGCATACTTGTATTTGCAGGTCTTTGCAGAAGTTTTGCCTATTCCTTGGGCACCATCATAATATTTGCTTGAATTTTAAAGAAAAATGAGTCTGTTTCATTATTTGCTACCTTCTACAACATTAACTCTGATGACTTCCATTGATTATTTTGTCAAGTTTTCTCACTGCAGTTCTGTGGATGTAAGATGTGGATGTAAGAACACCCACTCTGGGATGGAGTGTGCCCTTTACAGATGTCAGTGTCTGGAGCTGGTACAGTCCTTTGACACTTTTCAATACTGTGACTCTGTCACTTCTCTGTTTTTCTTTCATTTCCATACTCCTCTGCATGTCATATTACTCCGTTTCTACCAGGAGATAAGGTATTTGTATAATACAAACAGGAGCTTGGTTTGTCACTAAGGACACTGTGCATCTTACTGTACTTCCAGCGTTGTTTCAGCATTTGGGACAATGCTGTTCTCTCTTTCCTGCTGCTGTACCACATAAAATAATAAGTTCCTTGCAGTTAATGGCCTGCTGTCACACTATAATGTCAAATAAAAAAAAAAATTCTCCATTATTTTAGTGTTTGAATGACAGAGGAATTTGCAGTTATCAAAATATATGAAATGTGCAAAGACTTCTACAGTACCCTTTTAAGACAACCTGAAAATCTTTATAAGAATCTGCTGAAACAAGCTATGCACACTCCTCATTTGTAGTTTATTTCCTAATAAAACTTTTAATATATTCATTAGTAAGTTTTCCAATTTCCTTTAAGTTATTATAACCAAAATGTTTCCAGATGAATTTGTCTTTCATGTCAGCCAGCTTATTTTCATCTCACAGATGCAACAGAGTTTTTCTACCAAAATATTTTTCAGTTCTCATGATCTTACTAGTAAATTTAAGCTAAGAAAGAAGGCAATTTTAAGCTAAGTGGGAGGCAATATCAATTACCTATATTCAGAAGTACAGGATGCAGTCCACAGATAAGATCTGTTCCTTCTGGTATTTGCTGTAACCCATTAATAACAATAATTTACTTGCCTGGGAAGCAGAATAAGTATTAGTGATATACATGCCTTACTCTCCTATTAGCTACTGAAATTTCAGGAGAAAGTCCGAAAGAAATGACTTCTTGCTGAGAAAAAGACTTTTTCCCATTTAGACTGCAAGTAATAATAATCCACAGCAAATGAAACACGCTTGTAAAATGGTGTTTTCTCTATGCAAATAATTGCAGTATCACAAGAACTAAAGGTGCCATTACATGAGATACTATCAAAACTGGAAAAAGTAATGTTTCCCTCTTCTGACATTGAATTTTGCTCTTCAAAATTCAACCAGAATATGTAATTTTCTAATTATGCCACATGGCACATAAGTTAAATTAAAGCATAATAAGCTATCATTTTATTTAATGGCTGATGTGAAGGTGAAATATACTGGATCATTTATGCACATTTTTAAAACAAAGCCTCCTGCTCCCTGCACCATTTTATGTCTTCTGCCTTCACATTCTGCCTTGGAGTAGATGCATAAATTAATAAGTTTTCTTCCAATAAAATAGATTTACAAACTGTATCTCTTAGTAACTCTTGAATTTATTTGTTTTCTTGTTTAGTATTAAAAATTATCTATTAATTGGAAGAGAGGTAATGTTATTAGTTAAAAACACTTCTGTGGAAATTGTTCTTTGGGCATTTCTGAAAAAGGAGATTTTAGATGCCGTGGCTCATTACTCTTTCTATAGAACAGTTAAAGTATTTTCTGTTCTGTTTGATTCCTGGTTCATTGACCTGATACATAGAGTCATTCAGATCTCATTGCATCTATCTTGCAGTCACAAAACAACCTTTAGGACTTGTTTCTGCTGCCAGTAAAAATAAATTTTGAGCCCTGATGAAGTTGCTTCAGCATAATCACACACAAATTATCAGTAATAGCAATTGAATAGCCTGCTTCTCCATGAGCAGAACTAAACCCTAACTTTGTAGAATAAAAACATTTTATAATTTTAGATGGAATAAATTACTGTACCTATGCAAAAGGTTAGTTATTAAACTTCAAGATCTCCACTACCGAATGACTGTGCAATCTGAGTGGAATATTCTGTGCATTTTCACAAACTGCACATAACCACCCTATTGAAGGGAAACCTGTAGACCAGTGCTGTTCTGTAATTCATGCTGTGTGCTCATTTATCTGATAATTTACATTAATGCCAGTGGGACTTACAGCCTTAATATGCTCCATGTTTCAGAGAGAGTTACACAGAAATGTACATACTAATTTACATTCCATTTTTAACCTCCTATTCAACCAAAAGAGAATGTATATTGATCCTTGCAAATCTGTTCACAATAACATTTTCTTCTGACTACTGTGAAGCTGGAAGATATTTATATATCATACACTAGTCTTTATGTATATCTAACATATGTTTATGTGTATATGAAATGTGCTTTAAAGGCAATTCCCATGTACTGCTTTTTCAAATGCATGGGGTTAAGCTTAAGTTAATAGGTATAGATATTTCAAAGTATCTGAAACTTTTTTTCATTGTGTATTGAAAATTAAACTTTTCAAAGGTTTCTTGAAAAGAAACTCTGTCAAAATATTGCTTTTCAGATAAAACATATTTTCTTTCTCTTTTAGGAAATCCATCATAGGCATGAAAATCTTGTCTTGTCAAAAATTGATCTAATCAATCTATTTCCACAAGAAAACCTCAATTTTATGAGATATTGGCTAAAAAAAACAGAACTAAAGCTGTTTTATTATTTTTTGCAAGTTTCACTGCATAAACTGCATCATTCTATATGCTTTAAAGTAAGCATATGTAGTTTGTAGTTTTGACTTTGATGTGCTTGTGGCATATTCAGAAAAGGAAATTTCACACAAAATATCACTCATAACAAGCCCACAATGACATATAAACCGTAGCAATCATCAGATAATTCTTCAGACATGCAATTTCTGGAAACACTATGTTTTATCAAATACTTTGAAAATGGACACTCATTGTCATACAGTTGCCAGCTACACTGAAGTTTAAATACTGGCATTTTAATAGAAAGAGATTCAGTTTCAGATACTTCAACTTTCATTCATGTAATTTAGGACCCACCACGGCTCCCTTAAGATATGTTATAATAAAACATCTGCTGTGAGGATAAAATCACAAGGAGGCATCCAGGCTAAGTCAGGAGACATAACATTTAATAATGAGCTGCATGTGAAGACCCATTGACTTGACGAATGGTAGGTATTGTATGGAGCAAAAAAGTCTTACAGAACATCCATCACAGGTGTAGTAACACAGGGGACAGTCACTATCAGTATTTTTTTAATTATTTGGAGGGGTTATTAACACAATAGATATAAATGTGATTTCCTCTTTCTCTTTGCATAGTTGTTTCTAACCTCACACAATGATGGGAATTAGAAGATGTGAAGAAGATTAAATTGTAGATTGGCATTTATTTCTTTGATTTGTAAGTATTTATAAGGCAATAGTACATATATTCACTAGGCTACTGCTTTCCAAATTCTTCATTGATTTCTCTTCTGTTATTTCAAAGTCACCTTTATTGAGATATGCATCTGCTACATTCTCCTGTCAGAGACAGGATACTAGGCTGAATAGACTTTCAGCTTAATCCAGTCTAGCTGTCATAAAGTCTTACAAACTGTAAGTTCCAGAAATGAAAAGGATCAAAATTATTAGTGGAGACTCAAAAATATAATACAATCATACAAAATAATTACTATCAGGACTCCTTTACTTTACAAACATATAAAATGAATTTACTTTGAGGGTAAGAAGAGGGGGAAAAATCCTTCCATTAGAAAATATAGTCACAAAGCTTTGAACAAATAAATTCACACGCTGCAGAGTACGCACACACACGCATGCAGGCAGGTATGCACGTATGTACACACACAGGTGCCCACATACACGCATACATACACACATGCTTAGAGTTTACACTGCATTCTTCTGATGCCATGATTATTATTTTATTTGTACACCCACCTTTACTGCACATTCTAAACAAACAATAGACAACAGTGTAAGGACTTTTTTTGCTTAAAACTGCAACAAAATAAGTCTCAACATTTGCAAAACATTCCTTTATTATTAGAAATAAATTATTTTGTATAAAAATTAGCATGCATTGACCATTGCATTTATTTTAGCATAACCCAGGACTTAATTCAGTCAGCTGTCACAAGAAACAAACTCATCTTCTTTTACGAGTTGAACAATGTAGGACAGGAAAGGAAATTGTCACAATCACAAAAAAGTACTTACAAATATAACATCAGACATGATTTATTTCAACAGCATTTTTTTTCACAAGCTAACATTTGTTTTCCTTTTGTGATTTGCTTCCATTTGTGATTTGCTTCCTTTTGTGAGTGAACAGTTCAGAAGCTTGACACTCTGTCTCTATGTTATAAAACTGGACTTTTCCTTACCCTGTCTCTTTTTGCCTTTTGCTTGTGTTTAATCCTTGTTCTTTAGGAGACTGACTATTGATTTGAATGTAGACTACTGATATTTTCAAGACTGAATTCTGGTGGTGGTAAAGTCTGTTTGCAAGATCCAGTCCTGCAGATCTTCCAGTGAATTTCATCCCTGCTCAGTTTGCCTGATTGCTGTAACTGACATAAGTTGTCTTGGTAGAGGAGGCTGTAAATCAAAAGAAAAAGAAACAAACCAAAAACAAACAACAACAACAACAACAAAAAAACAAAGTTCAGGATTTTTAGAATCAAGAGAGGAGGAAAAAATCATATTTAGCATTTGAATTCAGACAATGTCCTGCTATATTTCCAAACAATATGGTCCATGTTCATGGAATAAAGAATGTATAAGGATATATGTAAGCAGTATATAAACTGGATCTCAATTTCTGTCTTCATGACAACTTATTTTTTCTATAATTTGGGAAAGCAGAGGTCAATAGAAAGGAAAAATGATGAGTGGTTTCAGCATACCCACAACAGAATTACAACACCTTGTGTTATTTTGTCTGAATTCCATACAAAAATGTTTTAATTTAGAGACTGAATTTTTCTTTCTCTTCTACTGTTTGAAGACAACACTGCAGTTAGTTGTGGTTTGACCATCCAAAATGAGACTTATGCTCCTTGAAAGGAGCAAAGCCTAACTCTTTCCAAATTAGAGAAACTGAGCAGATACTCCCTACAGAACAAATTATCTGGAGAAAATTATGGTCTCCTTATGTTGATGGCCAGCTGATCGTGTCTTCTTTTGATCTAAGCTGATACTCCTTCTTCAGAATGAGGCAATATATTGAGAGAATTAAACAGCTCCACTATTGCAAAACTGAACTAGGAATCTTAAGAAAGTTTTTTTCAGGTTCTAGCCCTTACATCCTTGCTATTAAGAAATATAAAAAAATATGCTATAAAAATATGACTCAAGTCATATCAGTCAAGTTTAATTTAATGGTTGGAGGAGAAAAGTGATTACATCAGGTCTCATAGTTAGTTCTCTAATTTTAAATCAGCTGGGTACATGGAAAATCAGGCTGATGGGGGACTGAGTCTCTTATTTCTCTATAATAAGGTCTATGTTACACTGCATAAAGAGGAATTTGACTTTCTAAATATGTTTTATATTCCGTCTGCTACAGACATGTTCTGCTTATGATAGTGAAGATTGCAGCTGGCAAGATGAAAATAACGGGATGGCAAAATAAGTTTCCTGGTCTATAGATTCAAATTTTCTATTTCCATACCTTTCTTCAATTTGTTTCTTTTTTCTATATACAGTCTGGTGAGAACAGCTGGGATAGATTGGAAAAGCATTCTTTATGCTAACTCCTAAATTCAGCCCAACAGTCTGATGATTTGTGAAGAACAGACTACAGAAACTGGGCAATGACAGTTTCTGTCTTCTGCATCACGGATTAAACTAAATAAAGGATCACTAAAATGGATGCAAATTAATAGTGGTTAGTATAACTAAGTTTACTTCTTGATATTTGTCATGTTTTCTTAGATTTGCTGAGCAACTTAAATCTAATACTGCATCTGCCATTTTTTAAGACACAACAGAACCAGACTATTTAATTCACATATTACGATAATCCTTTTCCCTAAGAATGTATACATAAGCATGAATAATCAAACAAAAGCTGCAAAATGTAATTTTTCTTACTTTCACTTGCACAGGTAGTTCCAGTACTTTGTGTCTAGAAAAAGCTAATTCATGAAAGGACTGCTTTTGGCACGCAAAGCAAGTCTTCCTCATAGTTGATCACAATATTCGAGCACCAACATGAAATAGCTTTATTTGCATGGATTGGGACACTTGAAGCAAGTATAGCCTAATTTACATCTTTCAGATCTTTCAAATGGGATGTACTGCTCTTGTCTGAACTCTCTCATGCTCCCACAGCTGGATTTCTGAGAGGATTCTATTTTTTCTTTTGGCCTGCTGAGTTCCTACTCAAAATAATGCAGGACTAATGAAATGGCACCAGGATCTTCAAGCATAGAAGGATTTTTTTTTCCCAGCTAATAAATAACAGATAAATGTTCATCTGCAAACTCTGCACACTTGGGAACAAAAGGATAGAAAGATCAGAGCTTATTTTTTTCCCTTTCCCTGAAAGTAGGGTCAGATACATGATCAGGTTAAGTTAGACTACCACATTATCCTGTATGAGTTGAGTTGAGTTCTCTGATAAGTTTACATGTGCTTGTTTTTAGCCCACAGCAATGCAACATAATCAGATCTACCACAACTCAGTAAGCTGAATAATGTGAGGACAATTGCAAGAATACAATATAAAATACAAAAATAGTAATTAACACACCTCAGCTGATATAATTTTTTAAATTACTGAAACTTTGTTGTGTATCTGAGAAGTAAACAGTTTTGATAGAATTAATATAGAGTTTATCAAGAAACAAAAATTATCCAGTTGAGTTCTGAGTGTTGTTACTTTAAAAAATTATAATGCAGGAATTTAATGTAGACAGTGGTTTGAAATATATTAAAACTAATCTCATCTCCAAACAGTGTTTGTGGTTTTTTACTTTATAAATATTGCATGTGTCTTTTTAGTTCTGTGGAATTAGTCTAGAGTTCATGATTGGGGATCTGAAAGCTTCAGCAGCTGGTGTCCTGCTCTTTAAGACTGTTAGCATTTCACAATAATAACGTGAACCACATTTGGCGAGCCTAGATGGCCAGAAAAAGTAATGGACTTGGCTCAAAATATTTCTGAGAATAAACACACTTTTATAGCTCCAGTTGCTACTTTGCTGTTGAAACAAAAAAAAAGAAGAAAATAAAAGAGCAATGTAGAATTATTATTATGATCTGATCTATATTCATTTAATGTACTTGTCATTGCCTTCTGTAACCACACCTGGATAGTTTTTTTAAAATCCTTTCTCCCAGAAACAATTTATTTTTAACTGAATATGGACCTATTCCCACAAATAAACCCATGAACATATTCACGTGGAAGACAACACAGAATAATGGGTGTTACATGGAACAGGACAAACTAGATAGAGCAGAGTTGTCTCTGGATGGAAAGCAAAAGGGATTACGTTACTATCTCATCCTGTTTCTCACCTAGTTATGAGCACTGCTATCATTTCTAGCGTTTGTGCTTGGTAAAGGGGGGAAACAATCACTGCTCACTTCTGGTATACTGGAAGTAGACTGACACTTTGCAATCAGCTTCATATGCTATCACTGAAAAGAAAGCTCTAACTCACATGGAATCACTGCAAGAAGAAGTTTTGTGGTGCTGAGAAGTTGTTACAAGTGACACAGTGAAAAGGACTTATGCTGCATTGAGCACTTAAAATTCACAGGAACTTTCAAATGCTTTGACAATAAGTATTTCAGGGAAGAGAGAAACCCATCTTAAGGCCTAGAACTCAATTACATAGGGAGAGCTTTCTGGAGTGCAGATGACTTGACTGAATTTTTGCCTATGAAGCATTATGATGGATGAAAACCTTGTCAGGATATACTCCTAGTGAGCTCAGAATTATATAGGTGTGTTACTGTTAAAGTCATGTTTAGAGCACAGTAAATAAGCATTACCCTGCAGTATTGGACTATTTGAGAAGCAGACTTGCTTCCTGTAGCATCTGTTTCTATGAATTATGCATAGTCATAGTTTAAGGAATCTCAGTCACAGCATTTCTTAATTAGGTACAGTAGATAAACATCAGATATCCAAGACTTTCTTATTAACACTCTTTCTCACCCCACTCTGAAAACCCTGCTTTAACCTCTCCTTGGAAGTTTATAATTTTTCACACTCAGCAAAATCCATGTCTCTTTTCCTTTTTTCCTTCTGAGTTTTCTGAAGAGTTGCAAAATTACTGAGTCTTTCATATTCCTCTTCTATTATTTGATCCACAAATAATTTCTATGCCTTTCTTGTTTGTCCTTTGTTACATATCTCAATCTGAAGCTCTGTAAGCCCATAGCTTACTCTAGCAGTTTTACACATTTCGAAGGGTCATGAGTTTTTCCAGTGAAACAGTTTGCACCCAGTGTCCTCCATGCATCAGCAAGCATAGTATAATATAGTATGGTAGAGTTATGGACTACTTTTATATAGTCTTCAATCTGGCAAACTCTGATAGATTTCAGTAGGGGGTTCATTTTTCAGAAATAAGTACAATAATTTAATGCAAACTTGGTACTGGCTTGTCTCAATGTGCTTAACCAAAACAGTGCTACTTAAACACCAATATCATCCAAAAGCAATAAAAATTAAAAATAAACCATGTTGTTTGCAGTAAAATTACTGAAATGCTTAGCTGCCACAGCTGCTGCCCATCTAATGTGACGTTGTTTTTTCAGAAGAAAAAAATTCTCAATTTCTCTGCACTGGGTATAGGCTTAATGTCTTTGCTCATTGTTGATTATTATTGTTATTAGGAAGTCCAGTTTATAAAATGTTATGTCATGTGGTGGAATGGGAGCTATAACTTATGTTTTTATCTGTACCACAGAAATTTTGAGATGTAGCAAGATTCAAGAACTTTCCTGACATGGGGAAGAATTTTTTTCCCCATTAAAAATCTATGATATATCAGAACATGTTTTAATTAAGCTTCACACAAATTATCATGATTTTGTACCAGGATGAGTGAGACCAGAACAAAAACCTGGATGGGAAGCATTATGCTGGGAAGTGTTACTCATGAGTTGTGAAAAATGAACAATCCAACAAATATGAAGGTAGAAAGGTAAAAAGCATTATTTTCTCTTCCATATCTGACTGCAAAATAAAAACAATGCTAGCTGTTTTCATTGTAGTTTTTTTTTAACAGCCTTTGAGTTTTGAATATACAATGATGACCATAAATACACCTCATGAACTGTCAGGACATACCACTGGCACAGCAATGTACAACACACCAAAATAGCACTAGCTAAAACAAACAATTTTTAAAAGATGTGGCGTTTCAAAATCTGCTTGTGCTTTTTTTTTTCTACTAGCCTCCTCTGAAAATCAATTTCTTTGAAACAGCTCTAGACATTCCTGCATTCAGCAGTACATGAATTCTGACACATCTCTGGATTCATGCAGAACAAGCAACAAAAATAATTAAGTTTATTATTAAAAGAAAGTGCATTCTTGTGAACGTACATCTATTAAGATGTGCTGCCACTCTTGACCAAGTCTACAGATGACTTACTGTTGGTTTCAAGACTTTCACACAGTTCAGTCTTGACTTCTCCATTTGGTCTGTCATTCCCTTTCTGTGACAGTTTGCTTTGCATTGTAGCAGCTGTCACCACAGCCTTGAAGCTCCTCTTCCGTTTTTGAACATTCTGCTCTGGATGAAAAATGATAATATAAACCTTGGGCATGTAGAGCATGCCCAGAGACACAGAAGCACTTAAACTCATGGAGATAGTCAGTGTTGTTGTCTGGATGTACGTCTGGGGAAGAAAAGAAACAACATAAAAAATCATTGTTGTATTGATTTAATTCAAGAAGGAAAACAAAGTAGCTACCTTAAAAGTACTAGGTGGAAAGGGAACATCAAAAGGACCCTTGGCTTTGGTTGTTTTTAATTATAGCCGAGTATGGCTGTTTCCTGTTGGGTTCATAACCTTAAGAGTAGGTGGTAGAAACAACATAACATTCATGAAACTTCATTCTCATAAAAGTAAGAAAGATGGTGCAGCAAACACATTTTAAAAAAACCAAACCAGTATGTCTGGACAAGAAGACAGGAATGACAATAGAGTTAGCCTTGTGTCATCTATTTTAACAGACAGAACCCTCTACACCAATATGCCACATGGTGATTCAACAGTGTGTGCAGCATGGCTCAACTGACAGCAGCATAATGCAGAATCTAATGGAATCTTTTATATACTCTGAGTTTCAAGCTGGAAAAAAAAAATTAGTTTTTCATAGTGATGCTTGAATATTCCTGATGGTGTTGGAGGGTTGATTTTTTTGTTTGTTTGTTTGTTTTCCATCCTACTTTTGAATTCTAATCACAATGCTCTGTTGGCACACAATAAAGTTATTAATATGTCATGATCCTAACTAAGAAATCAGAAAATTGAGGAACCATGAAATTATCTCACAGAAGATCTCAGTTCCCTATAGATAGAAAGGAAAAATCTGGCATTTCAGAGGGAGTCTGTCTATTTTTTCTTATCATCTACAAAAAGAAGGTAACTCTGGTATTCCATAATACTATAAGAGAAAATGCCAATAAACACTCCTTAAGAACAGCAGACAGAAATTTGTTTGATGAAGTATTTAGCTAGTATATTACCAATACTAATTGTAGTTCTGCTCAACAGTTATTTTTTCTTAGGAAATTATTTTTTATTAGCCATATTATGAACAAAAAATACTTTACAGTTCTGTGTTAAGTAGGAAATCTCTCAGTAATCCTTGTTATATTGGAAAAGATACTGAAGTAAAACATGCTCAGTGCCTTCACAGATGATTCAGTGATGTTGTCAGGCATGATTTTAAGCACTGGCCAACACTATCACATTAACCTGAAGATAAGATGGTAAGTCTGTCTGCAATGTCAGCTTCAGATCATCATTTTTTATGAAGTGCCCTTGGGTGACTTGGCCCTTGGCAGAAAAGTAGAGATATAATAAACTGTTGTGCACTATTATAGCCAAATAATTTAATGTCTTTCAGCCTACAAAGTTTTTCCATTAGATACTTTCTCCTTAGGGATCACAAATAAACTGTGCTCTCTCATATAAAGCAATCTTAGGAAAGAAAAAAACATGGATTCTGAATGACCTTATTAAGTAAGTGTATAAATGCACAGAAATACAAATACTATGCCAAATACTACCATAAAAAGAAGCATGGCCCAGTGTAGTCTTCAAGAAAACACTAAAAATTCCTGAATATCTGTAAAAAGCTCAACCCGCTTTCAGGGGCAGTACCAGCCTGAAAAGACAATCAGGACTGTCTGTTGTGCTGAAGAAAGGTACAGGAGTAACACCTTCCTTCATTTGAATCACACATCAATTCAGTACTTGAGGAAATAATATACTCTTTCCTCACACCAGTGAAATAATTCTATTCCTATCAATCTCCAAAACGACAGTGGTGTGCCTGAAAGCAGAGCTATATTGTGCATGAACATTTCTAATGAAAACATGACATAGTCACACTAATAAGGAAGTTTTTTCAGACTTCTGTGGAAGGACCTCTGTGCAGATGCATGTTCACATGCAGAGAGCACCAATGCACATGTCTGTTTCTCCCTGAACCAAATGGACTGATCTCCAAACAAACTGGTTCAGCAGTGGCTTTTAGGGTTAAGCATTTAATTAAGAGGCACCCAAAAGCAAAAGTATTTTGATTCCTAAACATGAATATATTTCCTGATGGGATTTTCAAAACTGAAATCATTGTAAGCAATACATTTTAAAAACTGTACTGTGTATGGAAATTCCAATAAAAATTATTTTTGAAGCCTTACCATTTTTTAAAATCCAAGTCATGGCTACTTAAGCCTCACCCATGCATTCTGTAACAATGCCTGGCATTTAAATATATTTTGGGGTTTTTATTTCTTATCAAGTACTCAAGTTCTGAGAATTGTCTTTCTCTCATGGTTCAGTGTAAGAGTGATATGATAAAAAGGATAAAGCTCCAAATGTTATAGGATAAAATATGTGCATTACTTTATTAGTAACATTAACAAATTTATACATTATAGGAGATCTCAACGATCTTTCTAGCAATAAGAGATGCCACGGTGCCAAGATCTTACTAAAGAGATTTCTCTTAGTGTGTCAATGTCAGCTTGAAGGTTTACATTCAACTAAGCTACCTAAGTGAAACAACTCTGAACCTCATCATAAACTGAAAAAGTAAGATTCTACGGGCTTCAGCACAGGTATTTTTCGTTACATATATCATTACATCTAATCTATTTTCTGTGGACTTAACCACTGACCAGCACAAGAGCATCTTTTAAAAATCTAAATCAGTTAGTTTCATATTGCCGATTACAGTTCATATGCAATGGGGTTTATTTCTAATGATTTCTGTGGTTTTGAACCAGCCACTACAGTTATTGAAATATCAACACTAGGGTGAACTGGGAGTTTTCTGACAGGACAATTTTCAAAGAGTGATTATAGTTTTTAAAGAGCTTCAGACTCAGGGATCCTGTTTTACATGGATCCCTCTTACTACTTACTCTCTAATGAAGCCAGTGAGAAAAGGATTTTGAGACACTTGCTCAGACTTGAGGGAAAGGCTTTGAACATACACTTACACAAACACATTGTGGGTGTGCATACAACTATCTGATTTCAAACACATTGTGGGTGTGCATACAACTATCTGATTTCATAGGCTAATGCAACTGCATTCTCAGCTGGAGGCTGAGTTGAGAGTCTGAGTCTGATTCCTTTTCCTACTGTAATCATAGAATAATTTGGGTCGGAAGTGACTTTTAAAGGACCTCTAGATCAGCGCCCCTGCAGTGAGCAGGGATATCTTCAACTAGATCAGGTTGCTCAGAGCACCTGACCATGGATGTTTCCAGGCATGGGGCATTTACCACCTCTTCTGGCTAAACTGTTCCAGTGCTTCACCTCCTTAATCATAAAAAAATGCCTAGTCTGAATCAACCCTCTTTTAATTTTAAAAACACTACCCCTTGTCCTATCTCAACAAGCCCTACTACTTTTTAAGTGGTCATTTGAAGGCTGAGAATCTGTTTATAGGATGGTAATATCTCTTGCATTTTATCCTTCTTTTCTTGGGAATCCCCATTCTTGCAGCCCAATGAAGCCCAAGTCTAGCAAGCAGGATACCACACACACTTGGTTTGACTTTTGTCTGACTCTTACCTTGTTTTATTCCTGACAAGAGGACTATGATGTTTTATGGCTGTGCATTCTGGGTACTTTTATTATTCTGGGAACATAACTACCTGTAACTTTTACAGAATTAGATGCTCTAAAAATAAGGAGCAATGGAGCAACAAAAGTAGTTCAGTTTAATAAGATATGAGGTCTGAATAATTTTTCATGTGTCTCACAGTGGTAGCTCACTTGAAGTCACAGAAGAATAAAGGTCCCTTTTTACAATGATTCATAGTTACACAGAAATGAATTTCAGCACTCCTCACACCAAAATCCCTTCTGAACTACAAACTTTTTGTCTGATAATGCCTTTCACAAATGTAGCAAAGACTGCTATATCTATTCTCCTTGTTCTTGACAGTCAAAGGATATGTCAGAAAACTAAAATCATGGTAGTGCAAGGAAAAACACCCTTTAAATTATGGGAAATACTTGAGGCCTAAATACCTTCATGCCTCTATCCTCCACCTCAACCTCACCCCAGAACTGACACTTTTTATGTACAATTTATGTAACCTCCACAACTGACAAAGGATCCATCACAATAGACAGTCCCTTGTGAAAAAGATTCAGATCCCTGCTCAGACATATGATTTCTCTATCTCACAAGTGACCTGGACCCCTTCCTCATCAGAAGGTTCCCACAAGCTTGGTAATATAACCTTCAGATTATCCTGACTCAGCAGCTAAAATAGATAATGGCCATTGATTCTAGGACGATGTGTGTCTTTCTACTTTGAAACCGAAAATGTTCCACAGGAAACATTGAGCCAATGAAACATGCTATTTTAGTAAAACACAGATACTCTAATGAGTTCTCCAGTTTCAAAGTACTTGAAACTGAACTGCCTCCTTGGAAAGCTGAACAAATTTCTATGCATCAAAGCAGGTGTGCACACTGAATTGTCCCAGTGCAGGTAGCTGAATGACTGCCTCTCAGCCAGGCTTCACTGCTAGGAAATAAAATATCCCTCAAGTTCCCAGCAGTGTCTCATCTGTTTGGTGCTTGCTGAGGCAAAGTTCAACACAAAGCAACTACTTTCACTAAAGGAAAAAAAAAGTAGCAATGTCACAACCTTGTCCAGATTGCTTCCCTGTTTTGAGTCCTCCCCTATTTTTACATATAAGATAATATTCAGAATCTCTCCAGAATTGCTGATTTTCTCATGCTATTTATTTTTCTCTTCTACTCAGGTTTAATAAGTCAAATAGAGAACAGACTGTTCCCTAATCTGGTTCTAATAGTATATCCTGGAAAGGCATATGGCTATTGTGATGTCTTGAGTAAATTTAATGTATTTTCCACTTTGGCACAAGCTCTCTAACTCCCAGTAGTTGTAACACAGATGAAAAAAAGTCCAGCAGTGAGTATAGTGCTAAATCACTGGGGGAAGTCTTGGTACATCTCAAACTATGAGTGTGCCTAGCATAGACTCAACTCAGCTACTTGCAGTCCAAAGAGAAGTGGATGTTTGAAAGGACACAGCTGGTCTAATGGCTCTCATTGACTAATTCTATACAATTTTCCCTTTAGAAGTCCCTTTCTCCACAGGA